TTTAATCAATAAAAATATAGAGTTTGCATCGAAAGATATAAAATGATTTTGTTTGTCCAAAGCATATATTCTTAAATTAACATTATTTAATTTAATAAATTTATTTTTTATTTCAACTAAGTTTTGTTTTTCTATTCCACTTATTCTGACTTACTAATGTAATACTTTATAATATTATATTATATTATCTGTTTCCTCTTTTTTGATGAATGTATATAAATTAAAATAATTCACATTTCAATATTTTGTAGTTATATACATTCTCATTCTAATTAAGAACTAAGGAATATTTAGATTATGTTTGTCATATTTTTCACCAGATTAAGTGAATAGCATCAATGAATGACAAATACCAAATTTTGTTGAGTAATAAATAATTGCAAGATATTATAATTATCAAGAAAACAAATACTTGCATTAAAATTATATAAACTTAAATATTGTTCTTGATCTAAATATTTAGGTCATTATTTGTTACTGTCTTTAATTTCTTTTTCCTATCAATATTTGTCATATTTTATTGAAGTCATTAAAGATAATTCTATTTATACATTTCAAATTTTTTGCAAAGATTGAAACCTCTAGGGACTTTTACAGTTATATATATAATTATAAATATCTATAAACATATATAATATAATATAATGTAATGAAAATGTATTGTAAATGCATATAATGTATATATGTAATATATATGTAACTTTATGTATGTATGTACTTTCCTATGTATGTATGTATTATTATGATGATTATATTTACCTGTCATATAATTATCTGGAATTTTAATATTAGTTTTTATATCTACATTTTCATGCTCTTTTTTCAAATTAGTATTTGTGTACATATCTGTGTCTTCCATTTTTTGATTTTTTCGTTTTAATCTTTTCCTAGTTTGTTTAAGTGATGTTTTTTTTAATTGAATTTTACATTTTTTTTGTTTTATATCTTGAGGTTCTTCATTTTCATATTTTTGATGATTATCATTTTTATTTTCCTCAATAAAGTAATTACGTGAAACATTAGACGTGTCATGGATATAGTTTGATAAATGGCATTGAACAGTCTCTTCACCAACTTCTTCCTTTGGTAATGCAATTGTTTTATCAATATAATTTATATTTGATTGTAATCGTTGTGTTTCAACTTTAGGGTCTAGGAGTAATTGCCTTAAAGATACTTGTGCTTGATTAGTTTTTTCAAAAAATTCACTACACTGATTTAATAAAATACAACAATCTATACAAACTGTAAGTGGCAATCCATCATTTGTTAATACCTGTAAGCAGTATCCTGATATAAACATTAATATATGAAATATATAAATTCAATAATTCAGAAACACATATTGTATTAAAATTCTCAAGAAACTACATTTTATCAATATAAACAAAGAAATGAAATAAATAAATTATGTTAAAAACAATGAATAATAATAATAAAAAGAGGGCTAAACTATTTTTACCTGAATTTGTAAACATTTAGCAATTTTGGCTTCTATTGCTAATTTTTGTCCTTCTGCTTCATAAATTCCAATAAAATTCTCTTTGGTTTCGGCGCAGAGCCGGCAAAGTTCCGGCTCCGTCATGATTCACAAATAAAATTCGGAAACAAGTTTCAGAATACAGTACATTGTCAAAAAACAATAAACATAATCACATCATCTCACATTTATATTATAATATATGATAAATAGAAAATTGTGAACGCCGAAAAGGATAGTGGACATATTGTTTCTTTACACAAGAAAAATAAACTATTTTTTGGTACACAGAGGAAATTTTTAATTATTGATTTGTTTTATTAAAATCATGAATAATGATAACGAATTTTTAAGAAATAATCTAATTCGTAACAGATTATTCATAACATAACTGAATGGAAGTACACAGTCATTTCATTATGTTCATTGAAAAAAATACATTTGTATATATAAGCATGTTTGTACATTACTAGGGACTTTGAGGTTGCACAATACATAGAATTCAAATCACTAGACTATCCTATATTTTATGTTGCAAATTTTTTTTTTTGTAAACACGGATACAACAATCAAGAATTATTAAAGTATACAATGTATATTTTATATTATACGTATGTTAAAAGTGTATTAAAGATATACAAAAAATAATTTTTTTTATTCATTTAACGGAATAAAGGCATGTTATTACTTAAATTTTAGTTCATTTTAAAAATATTCAAAATTGAAAAATAAAATATTTTGTATAAAATATCGAAAATAATAAATTATACTATTTGAAATGTTATATTGTCCATAGTTAATTTATTTTTTTCTGTGTTTTTTCCTCTTTAAAATGTAAAATAAATATTTTATATAAAACATTACTGCTTCAAATATTTGTTTAAATCTTATTGTTTGAACATTTCATTTTATTTTTTTACAGTTATAATATTAGTCTAATTTAAAAATAATATAATATGTTTATTATTCATTATGTGAACGGTATATCAATTAATTACATTAAAATAATGCAATTGCAGTTCATTAACTACATTATGCCACTAAACATTATTAATCTGCTATTTGTTAGTTGGTTTTGTTTTCACTAGTAATGATGAAAAAAGTAGGACTATTTTCCAATTTTAATTTTTTTAGTTTCGAAATAAAACTTTTAATTTCAAAATGTCTTCCTCTACAAAAGTCTATATAGAAGTCGGTAATCGACTAAATAAAAAAATTCTCGAAGTGTAAAGCATTAACTCATCCTACAATAATTATTACTATCCTACAATAAATAATACTTTCATTATTGATATAATTTTTGTATCATTGAAAGCATTGTGTTATTGTACCTATATATTACAATGTATACAATACAATGTTTACAATACATCTATTATTATATTGCTGTAATATAAGTGTAATTATAAATCTTATATTCTTTATATTATATATTCATAATATATATCTTTATTTTATATTTTACGATAACGCCAATAATTAGGAGCAAATAATTTTTAATTTTTAATAATATAAATATCTATAGATAGTTATTCTCATATAAGCGTATCATTTTCATATAGCCACTATTGTCTTATTATATTTATAATCCAATTACGCTTTGTGATATCTTTGAAGAGCAGTTATTGCAATTAACGTTTTATTGAAATTTTTTTTTATTGATTTTCACATTATTTATAAAACGTTATTTATAAAATGTAGCAAGCATATTTATAAATTTAAATTAAGTGTCATACGTTTCAAATATCTGATTAATTAAATACATTCCTACTTTAAATATTTTAAATATTTACGCCATTTATTCGAATTTGTTTATATGGCAAACTTATCTTATTCCAAAGATTTAAATTTAAGAAGTTAATATCTAATAACATAAAACATTTCACGTTACATAAAATTAAATGCCCGATTGGGAATATGTGAGATTATACCCACGTTTTGCGGAAAATAATTATGTTTACTAATAATTCATGTATTCGATATTTTTATGAAACGATTAGAAAAATGAAAGTAAAGAAATGAAGAATTGTTTAAGTTCCAGAATTTAGTTGTTTATTTCAATAAAAGATTTTTCACATAAAACCTACGTATTTTTCATAATAATTTTCATTATAACTTTGTAAAATAGTTATTGATATTTATACACATTTAATATATTTTGTATTTATGATATTTGTATAACATAATAAAGCTAATATTAATATTATAATATAATATATTATTATAATGTTCATATTGACTTTGATATTTAATTATATCTTAGAAACAGGAAGTGTATAATTAAAATTATTATTTTAAAATCAATATAAATATTCTTTTTCAAAAGAATATTTTTAAATTATGTTTTTTGTTTAATTCTTTAGTATAATTACAAACGTTAAATTTATTGCATATATGCATATCTCCAAACATATATTTATAAATATTATGGAGTTTATTTCTCCTTAAATTATTCATTGTATACACATATAATCAAAATCACATCCACTCAATCGTTATAGTATGCTTTTTGGGTTTTCAGGTCACCTACATTACCTTTTAAAATTATTTTCTAACGGTACCTGTAATGTTCCTCATTATCGAGATAAAAATATTTTGAAAATATTAGTTGAAAAGTAAGAATACAATTTTCTTTATTACTATTTGGATAAATATTATTAAATTTTAATGCATACGATTATTAATTAATTACTCAAAATTCACAATAGGAATATTTTTTATATATATTTATCAAAATTACGGGAGAAGTATATTATTAGCTCGTAAAGAAAATATCTTTAATGTATTCAGAAAATTTTTTAATTATTATTTTTAGCATATTGTTGGGTGTACTATTTTTGTGTAAAATTATTCGTCAACATACAATTATTATATTAGAAAAATATCGAGAAACTTTGATCTCAAAATATTTTTAAGCAGGTTATTAATATTTTAAATATTATTTTATGAGTTTTTAATAGAATTTATAATCTTTCTTTTGTTTCCTTATCATTAAGTTTTTGATAACATAAAAGTTACATCTATTTTCTACGAAACATCATACTAATTGTAAATTTTATAATAAAAGCATATTCACCAATATTATTCAATACTTGTGTATTGCTATGATTATTTAAAAGTAATCATAAAATAGTCAAAAGCACAATTATATTTTTAATGTTTAGAGTATGCCTATTTATTTCTTAATGGTCATTTTTTTTAAATATGGAAAAATTCATGTGTACAATAATATTAATAAACTGTTCAACTCTGATTAATACTCTAGAATAGTATTATCTTATGTTTCTTAATAAATTATTATTTAGTAATAAGGTGTCAAGTTATTTCATTAATAGACTGTAACATGCTCTTATACTTAGTAAAAAATAAGTAATGTAATATTTTTATTTTTGTCACAAATATTACTATATATTGTTTTGGAAGTTTTTTTCTTAAACGAAGGAAGGTATATAAAATTGCTTTAGCACTCTTCCAAAATGCTTGTACAATCGGAAAAGTATTGACACCATTTCCCCATTGCATGTACTTACATATATATAGGGGTGCTTCTCAAGAAAGCAACACAGTTCTTCGAAGAACGTCCTTAGGTAAGCGTCGGTGATTTAAAGAAAGAAATTGATTTTTTGTTTTCTTTAAGAAAGGAATTTTTTTCAATTTTACAGACTAATTTATTGTGGATTTGTCAAAAAGGTAATTTTTAGACTGTACATATTTTATAATTTCCATTATTAAAATTGTTATTTAGTTATATAATACATTACATTGATAGTACAAACTTTTATATGTACCTTCAAATAACTATTACATGCTATTACATGTAATACTAACTATTGCACACTTGTACTTTAGCTAATTGTAAGATAAAATTTGAGTCTAAGTATTTGCAAACGTTTGTTTTGCAATACATCATTCTATATAATACTATATATTATTTATAAAAATATGGTAGTAAGAATATGTAAAATAATTTATTTTAATTTTATTTCGTTATAATTATATCAAATGTAATTTTCATTATGTAATATTCTCATTTTCATTAGAATATATAAAAATATTGAAAAGAAATGTGTCTACAAAAATAATCTGGGTTTCATGAGAACAGATATTCAATTAGGGTTCTTACTGAATCATTAAGTTATAAAGTTTACAGACTAGCTAAAGCTTTCGTGTTTAAATTATTTTGAAACTTCAACTTGTTCTATGGGTAATGTGTATAATATCAATATAATATATTATCATACTTCTGTATTTCTGCTAATATTAATAATTTTTAAATATAGTTTGGAAACAAACCGTATAGTTCGAAAAGACAAATATCTATGGCCATCTTTTTTAACATCACTGATGTTATTTTAAGTAAAATATTGTTTGCAATGGCTTCGTTTTTGTTTAGTTAATGTACAATACAATGTATGTGCCAATAACATTAACATTAAGATATATCCGATTTGGAAGAAGAATTTTGAGTTTTTCAGAGTTATACTATTAAAGAATGGTTAATAAATTGTGAAATTTCGAATACTATTTTTAAATACATGCTACTTCAATGTCAATATATGTTAGTAAATTTATTCATTGGTAAATAGAAGATTACAATACTGTTTATTATTATATCAAGATTGTAATATTAAAGCCATCATTTAAAAATATCTATAATCGTAGTACATAATATGTATTTCACACAGTCCATACAAAATTCTTTTACATCACGGTAATTTATTTATTAAAAGAGCAAATATAAATATTGAAATTATGTACATTATATCGGATTACCAAGTTTTATTTATATAATTAATAGTTATATTTCCATTAAAATTCTAGGTAAAAAAATGATACGATTTATTATATTTGGTATATTAATTGTTTTGTCGACGGGTCAGTTCCAACCTTCGGGGAGAATTTTAGAACCACCAATTCCTGCCCTTTGTGCACAAAGTAAGTAATTATGATTTAATGTAAATTCTTTATTTAGATACCCTTATCATATTTATACTTTATTGCAATATTAGTAATAAGTTTTTTATATCATATTTCCCATATATTTGGATTATTTAATAAAGATGTATATTTACAATGGAATTATAGGAAAAGTCCAACTTCTTTCAGTTAGTATATATATATTGTATTTAATAATGTTTTAGAAAATAAGTGAGAAAAAATATAAGCACGCGCATAATATTTACATTTATCTCATAAAAATTAAAATAGAAGCAAGTAATTCATTTTTTCAATTTAATTTTAATTAATAATTTAATTACCTTTTCCAATATAATTCATATTTCAATATACATATATGTATATAAGTGTTGCTACTTCTAATCAATTTGATTTATTTATTACTTTAATACATATTATTTCCATTTAAATGAAAATAACTGTAAAAATTTTTAAAACTAATTAGTTTTAAATATTTACATTAATCGTTCCTTCAATACTAAATATCTTGGCAAAATTACAAGGATTAAATATTTAAACGTACATTATTTGAAAAGATACAAAAAGCTACGTATACATTCGTAATTACGAGTACTCTGATTTTTGTATAATAATTGTAGTATGTTACGTTATGAATATTTAATAAATGTGAAATAAATATACACAAGAAATAGATAAATTAATTATTAAAAGTAATAATAAAATACTTTTAACAAATAATTATTTTTAAATAATTTCTTTGAAAAAATGTATAAACACAAATAGAAAAATAAGAATTATGCCGATTAATAATTATTTAATGAAAGTATATTTCGAAATATAATAATTTACTAATGGAAAAGTAGGCAAATGTACAAAGTAAGATGATTTTATTATGAAAAATGGTAATAATATAAATTTTTATTTCCAAAGATATAACTATGATTTGACTATCCAAACTTATTATTAATTATTAGCTTTCATCTTTCTGATTATCCGCCTGTGGTATGTAATCTCATTACACTGCACTAAACTTTCTTCTTGTCAGTGAGAAAGTAGTTTGTACTATTAACATACCAAACCGACTTTTAAGCCGTGACTGCAATATTTAAAATCACGAAGAACACTAATACAACTTTCTCTTCGAAAGAAACAATGAATAAACATTAAAGATTCGAATTTCGAAGTATTCGAACGTTTTGAAGAATATATCACATTTCTAGAAATCTAACTTTAGTACATATATGTATACATCTAATTATTTTTTAACTTTCGAAAATAACATTCAATAAAGGTATACATCTCTATTATTCTTACATTTTTATGTACTTCAAGTTGTATTCAACGAAGTATATGAAATGTCTATGTATCGAATAATATATCGTATATTTTTATGAATATTAACTAGTGGAACGACTTAATTTTAATTTGACTACTTAATATGAATTTACGTATGATATAAATATATTTTATGCCGTCGCGTTTAAAATTAGGTCTTTATGTTCTTATTATTAAATTTTTCCATTTATTATTTTAATAACATAATTTCATATATCTTGTTCCGAGTATTTTAAATTCCATAATGATAATAAAAATATGTAATATTGAAAAACATGAAAAGCAGATAAAAGCTATATAAATTAACTATGAAAGTGTGATAAAGTTGTAAGAAACTAGGCTGATTGGAAAATAATATTTACATACATTATATAGGATTAAGTTAAGATATGTATGTTTGGTATATAAGGAAGAGATGATTAGAGTCCTTGGTGATTTAACGAAGAATCTTGGTTTTTCATAAATTTGCATTCTATAATATAAGCTGGAACGAGTAATTTGTTTGATTAGGAAGCATTTACATATCAGCTGATTATTTTATTGAATCAGGATTAGTAATTTAGAAGACTGTCCGTCCAATGGTAACTTAATATGAAAAAGTAATGTTTATATTACAATTTTTATAAACAACAACATATATGAAGAATGTTTCTAAATTTTAAAATATAATATAAAAGAATAAATAATAAATCTGATTACATAGTCTGTATACATTTATTACAAAGTTATACAAATTATTTCATATATAATATTGCATAAATATTTAAAAATGTTAAATATAGTAATAATTTGATAAATTTAAGATGTCTTATACATTAAATTATAGTCATTATTTATGAACATAGATGGATAGTATTTGTTTGATTTAAAATTACAAAAAATTATGCTAGAAATTTGTGGTAATTATTTCAGTTAAAAAAATTGTTTAAATTTAAATTAAATTAACTATCAAATTAATTATTTAGAGGTTAAAATAATGTCTGAAATAAGTTGAGTTTGAATGCTAATGTTAAATATTTGTATAAGTTGTTAATATGTAAAAAAATACATTATATTTTAGGAGTTATTCATGAACGTTTTAATGGCAAGGGTTACTACTATTCATGGGCTGATCCAAGAACAAATGGGCAAGAACTTGATTGGTTATCAGGCAGAAATTTCTGCAGACAAAGGTGTATGGATCTAGTTTCTTTGGAAACTTCAGTGGAAAATGAATTCATTAAGAGTCGCATTGTTCAAAGTATTACAAATATACATTACAAATATAAAGTATTACCTATGTTTTTAAATATGCAATAAGAGAATACAAAGATATAAAAAAATTATGATTTCTAGATAATGTGAAATATATTTGGACATCTGGTCGGCTTTGTGATTTCAAAGGATGTGATAGACCTGATCTGCAACCTCTCCATATTAATGGTTGGTTCTGGACTGCAGAGTTGCAAAAACTTGCACCTTCCAATGATCGCTCTCAGAATGATTGGTCTGAAAGTGGAGGGTAAATATAAACTTTGTTTTCTTGTAAAGATAATTGAAGTAAATGTATAGTAGTTATGAGTATTAGAAATCAAGAATATTAACGTTGTAGATTTTTATTATTTAAAATATACATTTTATAAATAGTGTTGGTATATGATATATGTACAATAAATTTTAAAACATTTTTATTTATTTCTTAAGTTTATAGTATGATAAAAAATAAGAAATTCTTGATATAAAAATAAATGCCAAATATAGTAACATAATAAAAGAATAAATAATTTCCAAGAATTTGTTTTATTATTCAAGCCATGTTGATTCCAATATCTACAAACATTGCTGTAGATGGTATTCTCAGTAGTGAATATGGTAGACGAATGTCTGTATTTGTGCATTTGTATAATCTTATTAATTGTATCTCATTAATTTTCATAATTGTTCCTATCAAGTAATGAACTTTGTACATGCAAACCTCAGTATTTCTTATTTTAATTAATTTTCTATAAGAAGGTACATATATTTGTACCTAAATTACTATAAATTATACCATACTTCAAGATTCCATTCAAATTAATAATAAAGAAATGTCACTGATTCTTATAGTATTGGAAAACCTCAACCCGATAATCGTGAAGCTATACAACAAGGAGGTGCACCAGAAAATTGCTTGGCAGTACTAAATGAATTTTATAAAGATGGAGTAAATTGGCATGATGTTGCTTGCCATCATAATAAACCATGGGTGTGTGAAGATAATGATTCTTTATTGAGATATGTCCGTTTTAGCAATCCTAATATTCGTATTTAAAATAAATAAAATATTAAAAAAAGTATTTATTATATTCTTATTGTACATTATATAATTATATATTTATGTAAGTATATAATTCTAATCATTTAATATTTCTTTCATGGATTCGAAGTTTATACAAACTTTTACAAAATTATTACCATTGCATATTCAAGTATTATATATTTATATAACGTAAAATTAATAAAATATTTTCTTTTTTATATATTTTGAAGTTTAACAACACAGTTAAATATAATCCAAACAAACGAAAAAGTACAATATACATACATGATATGAAGTAGTATAAACAATATATCAGATGTGCTTACCTTTTTACTTTTCTGACACATATATAATTTTTTAATCTATTTATATTAATTTAAAAATATATATCCACCATAATTATAATATAATTGTTATTTATTCCATATTTATAATACATAATATCACCAATACAAAGAAAGTATAGTTTGAAGTATGTAATGTATTACATATATAAATACATAAATATTCAATTTTTAAGTTAATAAATATTTATTTCTCTAAAGAAGTACAAATTGTCATTGATTTCATAAAATTAAATTCAATATATATTATCACTTATAAATTATTTACTTTTTATCTTCTACCATTATAATATGATAACCAAATTTTGTTTTAATTGGGGGGTCTGTATAAATTGGAGAAGTAATAGAAGAAATAGGCAATGCAAATGCAGCTTCTTGAAATGGACCAATCATCGATCCTTTAGTCATCCATCCTAGGTCACCCTTAAACATTAAATGCATATTACAGCTTTAAGAAATAATATAAACATATAAGAAATTAAAAAATTTATATTTAAGACAATATATGTAGATAATAAATATTCCTATAAATATTACCCCAGATCTTGCTTTATCTTCACTATATGTAGCAGCAATTTCATTAAATTTTCCTCCAACTTTTAATTTTGCCAAAGCTTCTAAAATTTTTGATTGTTTCTCACATAGTATGTGTCTAACCTTTGCAATCAAATAGTAAATGCAGAAAAAATTAAAAATTAAGCACTAATTTTTATATAATTAACATATGCTAAGAAATATCTTTTTATATAATTAAATACAAATATAATTATCATACCTTTACAGCATTTCCTGCTTTTCTTTCTACTTTTCCACTGTTATTTTCTACACTTTTCGATTTGTTTGTTTTTGAAGTATTAAGACTTTTTTTCGGAGGCATACTTGAATTTTCTATTTACATTAAAGTATTAAATTAATTCAATATAATTTAACCTATTTTGTGCTAGTAAATATTAGTTACTTAAGACATTACTTCTAATTATATATGCATATGTATATGTAGTTTGTATAATGAATGTATTTTTCTTAAATCTATTTCTTTGTATTTTCATTAAACATATTTGCATTAAATCATAATTGAAATATGATATTTAATAATTGAAACATTATTATTAAGTATAGCACATGGAAATTAACAGGATTTTACATTATGCTTGGTAAATCGTTCTAAGTCGTAATAATTATAAGTACACATCTTGAATGCACACGTTATATTATCATATATATTATACATATATTATTACATTTTTCAGATATCTAATGTATCGAACTGCCTGAAGTTAAGGTTCGATTTTATGATACAACATACCAATGATTCTTGCTATTCCAATGCGTGCTCAATATGCATAATTTTTTAAGAGAAGTACTGTTATTTTTTGTCTCGTGGTAAAATATCCTAAACGAATTTTTATTCCTTAATGAATTTATTTACTAACTACTATAGTATAACATTTCGTCAATTATAATTTCTAATAATAATTCAGAATGTTAGAGATATATATTAAGCTTTATTAAAACGATTTCACTGAAAATCTAATTGAGATATAAAAGAAATGATAACTGTTTTATTCTTAATATAATACAAAAATCTGTGGACAGAATACATTTATTTTTCATATTAGTTATGCTACAATTACATACATAGGCGTAGGGATGGGTTTGGCAAAATATTGAAACCTTGAAAGCTCTAAAAATGATCAAAACTAAAGAAAATACTGAATTTCGAAAATTCGAAACTTTATACTTTTTTTTGTAATTCGAAATTCTCGAAAACCAAATAAAAAAAATATAAAATCAAAGGATAAAAAAATCCAAGAACTTAAAGTAAATTATCCAAAAATCAGACATTTTTCTATATTGTTTTTTTTTTTGTGTGTGTTTATGATTACAATACAAGAAGTCTACAGAAACTTTATTTCTTAAAACAAAATATTCTTTTTCTAAAATAATTAAATTTTAAGAGTTTCGAATGTCGATAATTTATACAATATTGATATTTTATCAAGATAACATATTGTGGAAACTCTATTGTACGTTACCATTTTATTGTCACTTCCAACCTTACCGATTCAGTATAGAGTGACCTTACTATACTATATTATACAGATGAGATATAGAATAAACATAACATTAAAATGTAGTTTTACTTTTAATATTCTTTACTACGCCTATTCTCTACATTGTTTTAATTATCTGATACTATCTAGCTTCAGACACTTTGACCCAAATCAACTTACTTTTTTCAGTTGTTTTAAAACAATACTGTATTTTAGCACCAATAAGAAACATAGATCGGGGGAACTTGACAAAATAATGTGCTTTTATTTTTTTGCAAAAGACATCAAATTTGAAAAAGTACAGAACATGTGGATCAGTCTTGTTTGTTTTGAAGTATGTTATAGAAAACAAAATTCTGAACGACTTTAAGTTAAAGAATAATTACCGTACGACCTTAATTTTCGAGATATTTGATGGAATGTATGTACAGAGATCAATCTAGTAGTATCAATAATTTTTACAAGTATCTTGAAATTTAAGGCCATGCAATAATTATCGTTTAAATAGAAATTGTTCAGTATTTCGTCGTGTATAACATACTTTAAAATCATCGGGAGTCCATAGATTTTACTTTTTTTCTCAATTTTTGCCTTTTTTGAAAAAATAGCGAGAGCGCATTAATTTTTCAAATTCCCCCGATCTTGGCAAACTTGTTAATGAGTTAGGTTACCTCTGACTTCCATGCTTTTCAAATATATTATAAAAATTAACATTTTGAACAACTTTTACCTGTATTAATTATAGGCGAACAGCCTTAGTTTCTGAGATATTTACAAAAAAATTCTAACACCACACAATTGAATCTGATTTACCAGGTGAATCAAAAACCGCTTTGACTTCTCCCGATCCATTTCTGCATCACTCCTTCCATAATGTCTACAGAATCCGATACATTTCCGTATACATATGTAGTACATTTTTATATCCGTCACATTTTATGAAAATGGAAAAATAATATGTGGAAGCTACGAACATCGGTATTTTTTCAAATTTCAATGGAAATTTAGAATTATTGAAATTTTCAAAATATTATAATCATAAACTTTGAGAATTCAAGAATTTTTTCCGTATCATTTAAAAGCAATTACTGCTTCCTGACGTTTCTAGTTTTCATGCAATATTTCGATTTTGTTGGAAATACGGATTTTTGGATAATTTAAGGCGACAAAGTAATTTTATTTATGGGTTTATGTTCAGGTCAAGGGGCTCTACAAACATTACCCAGTACATATTACGGAAAAGAAAAAATATTAAAACTTATTAAATAGTGTTATTATGTTATCTGATCAATTAAATCAGATAGCTGCTAATTCTATTAATTTCTTATAACATAATTAAATTAATAAAAGCAAATTATCTACTCAATTTGTTCATTCAAAATACAGGGATTTTGTGTAAAGGGAGAAATTCTAGAAAACCAATTATGTCAGAAAAACAAGTTGATTGAGGTTATAATGCAGAAGATTCACAAAATGCGAATTTTAAATTGCATATTTCTGAACAAATGAATTATGTACAAATTAATTATTTATTACTTGCTAATGCAAACCTAAAAGCATTTTTTAAGAAATCATCTACATCTAAATATAATAAATATAATTTGTATATAATACTGAAGGTTTTTGTTTTGTTTATAATAATTTTGTATTGATTTCTACTTTATTACAATATTATTAGAAACAGTATTTCCACAACGTATTATATATGTATTGATATCTTTTATATTTTAAATTATCAAATTAATATTATTGTTTTCATAGAAATATGAAATAAGAATTCATACTTTTGTATAGGTATTAAAGAGGTATCAATCCATCATTTTTAATGAATGTGTATATATAATACTTTTATAAGTGTAACACTGATTTATCATTAAATTTATTAAGTAAATGTTTAATAAATAACTTTCTTCAATCAAATTCATGGCATTACTAAATTCATCTTGTATTAATATAAATCGTAGATATAGTTTCATTTACTCTCACTGTATTAGATTGAGGGTAAATTTATTATCATGTTTTCCATATATCACATATTTATTATAACTTTCTAATAAAGCATTTAGGATTCTATAGTGATATAAAATTTTCTTATTATTTTTAGTTCTATAACAAATCAGCAAAATGTATACTCTAACCTGACAAATGCTTTGTATATATAGTAAAAGTTTTACAATCATTATTAACAGTTGTTTCTCATAACATTGATATTATTAGAAAACTAAAAATGTATCAATTCGTTTACTAAATTAAAAAATTAGTGTACAAATATATATTTTACTGCAATTTTATCTTTGATTATTGTATAATTATTAAATAATTTTATATATATGTAATTATATAATTACACACAATCTCTCTCTCTCTCTCTCTCCCTCTCTCTCTTTCTAGTCAAATAATAATTGTAAAACTACATTATAATATACATTTAAAAAATAAAGTATAATAATATTATATTGATTGATAAATTATTAAAAGTTATAGATCACATATAAACTACAATTGTAATTTGTTACTATTTTATTTAATATCTAAATAAATTATGATACATGAATTGATATTAAGAATATTATTTTTATTTACTAGATGCTAGTTCTTGAATCTTCTGTAATATTTCTTCAGATTTTAAATTGTGTAGAGGAATACAACGTTCTACTCCAAATTCTGGAATGTAATATAACACTTGAAGACAAGTATTATTGCATTAAATATAGAAAAAATATTTTATTATTTAGTAATATTGAACTATATACAACTGTACAGCATGTTTCACTCAACCAATGCCAACCATAACTTATACTGTCCTCGCATAGGTATATTAGTTCCAAAAAAGTTAAGATATCTTCAACACAATAATATAAATAAATAAAGAATTACACCAAATGATTAAATACAGAATATACCTACAAATGAATAGATACAAATAAACTACAACACAAACATATAAGAAATATGTAAACACGTATAGATGAGAACATCATATTAAAGAAATAAAGTTGAAAATTTTCAAACCTAATCAACTTTTAATTTAAGTATTCTAATATTTTTGTATAGAGAATAAAAAATGCATTTGCAAAAAAAGTATATATAATTTCAACACTTTCAATATATCTACATTTTCCACGTAAACACTATACCAGGTGTAATGCATCATTTAACATTATTTAATTTTGCCTAATGAATTTGTTTGAATTTCTTTTATCGTTTCAAAGTTATGACTGAATCTAATTGCAGAAAATCTGTACAGTAATATATTATTTTTAAATACATATTAATACATTGCAATAAAATAATTATTATAGAACTTACCATATCGCGCATATAAACGAGGTTCTACTGAGGAACACTCTCTAATTAAAATAGGAAACTGTGGGTTATTTCTTTTAAGAGGGACATATTGTTGTTCAATAAACTCTCTAAAAATATTAATAGGTTATAATGCAATATACGCAATTATAATTGAAAATATATATTGATTAGAGTAACTGTATAAATATAAAATGCTGAATTTTATGTAATTAACTTTCTTATTACCTAACACCATAACTAGACTTTGATGTTTGACATAAAAGAATTCGTAATTCCTTCAACTTAGGTCCAAATTTTATTGCAGCCATCTTTGTACAGTATATATACATGCAATATATATGGATAGTGTTACTCAATCATTCTTTTGAACTTTCTATCAATACGTAGTGATGAAATGTTTATATACATATTATTTCATAATATACATTCTAAAATTAAATACAAATTTTAATGTGATGTTTAATAAAAGTCAATAGAATTGTATCATTTTATGTTATATATTATTACAGGATAATTTTATATAATTATGTGATAACTTGTTTTTGAAGCTAATTTATATTGTTTATATTAATAATTGTCTTCAAAATACGCAATAACATTTTGTTATAATAGGAAATAAAAAAATATCAGGATTTGAACTAATTGTTCAATAAAAATAAATAAATATCTGAAGAAAACATCATGTATAACAAAAAATAGAGAAGTTAGATATATTTGAGTTTATAATAAGAGAAAATTCCATATAAAAAATAAATCTACTTCGTTAATTGCTACATTTTTAAGACAAATTGTAAATTGGAAATAAATGACTTTAATTTTCTATATATGAAATTTGTAGAATTGTTAAATGTTTTGAAATGGAGAATATAATCATACCTGTAGAATCATAAAATAAAGGTAACTGTATTTCTGCTACTTGTTTAGTTAAAAAAGGTTAAATTTTATTTAGTTTCATATAGATTAATTTAGTTTATTTTGTTATAACTAAATTTATTAGAAGCTTGAATTATACTATAAAAGATATACCGGATTGGGCTAGAGGAACTAGTTTTTGTACGTTAAGTCACGTAAAAATCACGTGTAAATGCAAATATTGACGCCTTGACACGACTAAGAATACCTCACTGCCCCCTTTCTTTTCTCAGCTGTTTCTTCTCGTTCTGTATGTTAAACTGTTCGGTTTCTGCTGAATTGCTCACGGTCTCGCGCATCGATCTTATCTTGTATTATCGGTTAAATTGAAGAGGATTAAAAGTGTCACAAACTCTTTGTTTTTGTCAAACCCAAACTGGTCTCCCTCGATCTCCTTCTTGTATCTCTTTTACTAATAATTTGGTATTACTCCTTTCAAAAAACTATGCTTCATTTATCTTTTCTTATTGATGATTCTTATTGGCTCAAAATTTCTATATTCTGAATGTACCAATATAAATGGTATTAATGTGTGTTTACACAAATAATACTGTTCAACACGAATTTAATCTGTAATATCCAGTGGGTAACTCTTGTAAAGTTTACCTTCTACGTGAGTAATGGTTGCGTGGCGATAAAACACAGCTTATGAGTTGCATGTATATTTTACCATTTTGTCAACATTGAAGATGAATCCCGACATTTTCTCTGAATAATTTCTTCTTCAGAAAAGTCTACGGAATACGATAATGTATAGCAAATTCGTGCTAGATAAGGAACTTTTGGTAAAAATATAAAAATAGTAGGAAGTACACTTTGTGGCTTGTTTTTAAACTTTGATGACCAATTGCAATTATTCAAAAGTATAAATAATTATAATTATGAATATTAATAAACTCGAGAAACTCTCATCTAACTTTTAAGATAAGACTGAACCTCTTAGCATTTTTAGGTTTTCTCCACTTTAGCCAAAAATCCTGCGTTTTTGGAAAAGCTCATATTTTTCGAAAATTGATGGTGATAGAGCAATTTTATTTGTGAATTCGTATTCAGGAAGGTAAACTCTACAAGAGTTGCCCAATAGATATTGTAGATTTGAGGAAAAGTTAAAATTTGTTGTACAGTGTAATTGGAAGTTGTACATTTACTATTACACTAAAATTTTATACTAGATTTAAATTTATTAAAGAAAGTAACTTAAATAATTTATTTAGTAAATAAATAAAAGTTTATTAATTTATCAAAATTAGGATTAGTATGAACTTAGTAAAATATACTTAATAAATTATATAACAAATTATATAAATTTTATTTAACAAAATTTATTATTTAATTTAATAAATTATACTGAATTAAACTGATAAGTTATATTGAACTGATATATTGCAATTGATAAACTATGTATTCAATAAAAAATTAGAAGCAATAAATAAAAAACTTATTTCAAAACAGGCATTAAATATTACTGTTCTTTTAAATCAAGTAACTATAAATGAATTTATCAAAGGTTTTTGTGATCAATTTTTAAGTTTTCTTATTTAAAACAATTAGTACAAAAAATTAAGAATAATAATTTAATAATCAAATCACAACTAGTAAGATTATTCTAAAATTTCTTGTTTTTTGAATCTAAGAATTTTGGAATTGTACAGATTAATTTATGTTCATGTTCATGTTATGTGAATAAAGAAATTCCTAAAATCTTTAAATATTTACTAAATACGTATGTATGCACTGATGTATTATGTAGGAATGTATTTTGAATATATATAATGGAAACAACTAAGGGAAAGAAAACAATACTACACAATGTTAAAAAGGTCGAAAGAAATTGTATGTTTAGAAGTTTTACATTTATAAAATATTGTGTTAAAAGGCCTTTTCCAAAAAATTTAACGGAATAAACATGATAAATCTACTTACTGAATTGAATTGAAATATCTACCCAAACAGATTCTCCAAAAATAAATTTTAATTGAGAAATTTTAACCCAGTATCTCTACTAATGGAATATAATGTAATTTCCGGTTTTTATTCCATTTATTTTGTTTTAATCAATAGAGGATTATGGAAAAAATCAAGAATATTCTCCACCACTAGGTATATACCAATGAAGAATTTTCACTTGCAAAACCGCATTTTAAAGAGTTCAAAAAATTTCAAATTATTATTTAATCACATTTAGATTTTCCTAAATGGTGGAACATAGTTGAAAAAATTTGAAAATTGATTTTTCTCTTTCCGCACACTAAGGGTAAATCAATACATTTTAATCATTTAAAACATCAATAAATCAATGTTTAAAATTAACAATATTGTCAATCATTGAAAATACTTACATATTAACAACTGTGAGTTAATTGGAGTTTTAATTGATATTGTAACACTAGGCGCTTATTTATCATATAAAAGAATTTTGTGTTTTAGTTTAAACAAAGTACATATATACAATGAATACAAAAAATATCGGTATATTAAATTTCAAGGAAATTCGTTCAACCAAAAAGTTTGAAAGTTTTCGAATTTTTTCGTACTCTGCATATAATTTTTTTTATTATTATATAGAATATTTTTTACAAGGTAATACAACATTAAAAATTAAACATTGTTTCTATGGAAAGTTTTGATTATTTTGTAATATTACAAAGTTATATTTACAACAGTAAAAGAAGTAATGAAAATTCAATTGTTCTGCTTAAAGTAATATTACATAAATATTGTATGTATAATCTGTTATGATAAAGAGAAAGAGAGAGATAGAGAGATTGGATGTATGATATATGAAAGATTCATCCAAATTAAACAATTAGAAAAAAGGAGAGAAAATTAATTTCATAATTTTTAATGGAAATTTTGCGAGTAGCTAGAGTATAATAGATTACAATACATAACAATTTTCTTGTTTACAGTATATCTCTTTAAACAGATTAAATCAATTGATTGAATTTTCAGTGTTTTCTGCATAATATTAGTCAACATGTATATACAGTCTATTATGTAAGGTAAAAGTTTACTTTTTAGTGACTTTGATCTAAATTTGTTTATTTTTTCCCAGTACCAACAATTTCTACAAGTATCTTGAAAATTAAGGCTGAACAGGAATTATTGTTGAAATAGAAGTTATCATAATATACTTGTCTAAACATACGTATATACATGTATAAGTTTTTTAATACATTAAGAAACTTATTGACGTTGATTTGGGGCCAAGTTACTAAAGTAATTTTTTACTTGTCCTGGTCCAAACACAAAGCAATCATTACTAATGCGACCTAACAGGAAAAAATCCACGAAATTGATCCAAACCATATTATTCATTAATAATATGGTAACATATAAATAGATAAGATAATAGGTAAACCATCAAAGTACTAGAACAGATCATTACATTAGCAGCGTAAGAACCTTCTGGCTGAATAATATTAAATTTTATCGGAATGAAAGTCATCAATGAAAGTATTCAACAGAATATAAAAAGCATTCAACTATGCAAAAGCTTATTAACTTTGAAAAACGAAAAGCAAAATTCAGGAAAATAATTAAACAAATTAAATAGGAATCTTGACAAACATGCACATCAATCATAAGTAACCAAACATTAGTATATATTAATATAAAAATAGTTTAGAAAAGAAAAAAAGTTTTAAAGGAATTACATTAACACCAGAAATCAAATACCTAGAATTTGACAAGTGCAGATAAGTAATCAATGCAAAAGACAGCCGATATCCTCGCTGAAACCTTCTTAAAGCAAACAATTAATAGAAATGTCAAGTATCCCCTTCTCACCTATAATCAGAAAATACTAACTCTGAAAAAGTATAACGTTAATGACAAAAACATCGATACAGACCCCCATCTTGATAAGCAGAAAAATAACCTTAAAGAATCTCAAGGCATCTTTCAAAACAACAAAAAATTCAGCATCTGGGCCAAACAATATATCAAATGCACCCCTTAAAAACTACGAAAAACGCAATAAAACGTCTATCTATCTATAACTGCATCTGTGTCACAACACATATTTTCGGACAAATGGAAAGAAACCATTATTATGCCCATATCTAAACTGTATAAGGATAAAAATAAGCCCGATAACTGGCTGATTGCATTAACAAATTGTATATATAAACTATTAGAAAAAATTCTAGACAAAAGACTTAAGTCTTAGAGTTCAACGATATCTTAAACTCAAAACAGTTAGATTTCGAAAATACAGACCCAACACCATTGTTCTTATCACATCGAGTCAAACACATGCAACGCATTTTTAAACCACGAACATCTTATAATAAAATGCCTTGATATCGAGAAAGCATACGATTTAATCCCATAAATAGAGATTATGGACGCTCTCATTAGCACAAAAATAAATAATCATGCTTATATTCATTAAAAACTTTTTAGAAAAAAGAATTCAAATCAGAGTCAATGCAACTCTATTTAAATCAGTTGCCATCCGAAATGGTGTTCCACAGGGTTTCGTAATCA